TGTCCATCCCCAAGGCCCAGTTCCCGAAGTTCGACAAGCTCCGGGAGACGGCCGTCGAGGCCTTTGGCCACGACGTGAAGCTCTTCCGGCCCGCGGACCGCGACGACGGCGACGACCCCTGGCTGCCCATCATCCGCCTCATCCAACAAAAACAACGAAGCGCCGCGCCCGAAACCGATCCCGGCGCGCCCCGGGGCCCCGACGCCGCCGCGCCGCCGCCCTTCGAGCCGCCGAAGAACACGGAGGTCGACGACGACCTCGGCTGGTACGCGTGCCTCAAGGCCTGGGACGAGCGCACGCGCGCGCGCCACGTGTTGAAGGCGACGGAGTTCTCCGACAAGTACGCGGAGACCGTGGGCTGCTACGGCTCCGTCCACGTGCCCGACAGGGCAGCAAAAGAGAGCGAAATTCCCAACTTCAAAGGCTCCGATCTCGGCCATTTTCCACTCGTTTTGGCTGACTTTTGGACGAGCGATCATCTCTTGGAACGGTCTCGAAGCGTGAATGTGTTTTTTTGTAACGCGCGCGCGCTGAACACTCACGTTGAAGCGACGTTGAATCACTCTTGTGCTGCCCAGGTGCCCGACGCGGAGATCGTCAAGTGCCTCGACGCGACCTGGGAGTTCGCGCACCAGGTCGACAACCTGCCGGGCGTCACGGACAAGCTGCTGCGCAAGCTCGCGGTGCTGGCCAAGGTCTACGTCTCCGACGACGTCCTCGTCGCGGGCATCCGCGCGGCCTGGAAGCTGCTCGAGCTGCGCACGCCGAGCAAGATCGCGGAGCGGCTCGTGGAGATGGGGCTCGTTATGTCGCTGCTGACGCTCCTGCGGCGGGGCCTGCCGGACGCGGCGCGCGACGGCGGGACCGTCGCGGCGCGCGAGCGGTGGAACTCCATCGTCGCGAGGCCCGCGGCGTCCAAGGCCGGCGCGGGCGACGGCAAGGCGCGGCGCGCGTCCGTGTCCGGCGCGTCGGAGTCCGGGTCCGCCGTCGCGGAGCGCGGCGCGGCGCCGTG